TCTAACACGTCCCCACATATCTACATCACGATGTGAGAAGATTTGCATAACGCCGCCCAAATGTTCACGCAAAGAAAGAAGGCGTAACTTTTATTCTCACTGTAGTACTGTTGCTGCCGCCATGTCGTGAAGACGCTGTGTGTTTGTGTTCTGTGTGTTTCGTTGTGAAAGTGAAACTACTTTGTTTGGTCTTCCAAAAGAGGACACGACTAGAAATCAGTGGTTAAGTTGTATTTACAACACTGTTCCAGAACAGTTCAACCCAAATATTCAGATGTGTCCAGCGCATTTTATGGAGGACTGTTTCCTGATCCTGGAAGAGTAGACTAAAATGCCGGCTGTTCTGACTCACAAACTGTAAGTACGTTTTCATTTTAAGAATTTGCCACTGATGATTCAAACACAAGTTTTAGCCAGTGTAGAGTAGCACTTGTTGTTTGTCATTTCTCCGATCACAAATGCAGACATGGTTTTATGGTTACGCGGCGCGATGCAACGCAACACGAAAAAAAGACAATATAAGTCATTATAATCCGTAATTATGTCCCCACTGGATGTAACAAATGCCTCATTTATAATGGGTTTTAATGTTTTTGTCGTCGCTCCGGCCAGGACAAGGCATCACAGTATCGTAGGGGCGTAACATTTCCGTCACACGCTTGAGGTATTCGGCCAATCAAAACGCACTAGATAGCTAGCCAATCAGAGCACACCTCGCTTTTCAGACCGATGAGTTTTGTAAAAATCGACTCAGAAAGGCAGGGCATAGAGGAGAAACAATAATGTACAGTATGTGGAACTGCATAGACACATTTCATTACACCAAATACACAAAATAATGTTCTTTTTAGCAACATCATATGACCCCTTTAAACTTTCTGAAAACAATCACATCTTTTGCTGTTTTATAAGTTCTGTTTACATCAATATTTTTCTGGAAAACAGGATATGAATATGATTTTGCAGTGTATTTTCTGATTCTTCTGTTATAAAGTAAATCTCCCATAATACCCCATGCCTTACATAATTTTTTACAAGTTTATAGTGCGTTTCTTGCCTGAAATGGTGAGGAGGAGGATCCAGCATAGTACTGATAACCAGGGAGGAGCAGCCATTCCGACCGGCCAGTGTGGTGTTCAGGCAACACTGCCTTGTGCTGGGCGGCACCAGGATTATGCAGAGGAGGGCAAGTGAAAGAGTGGCTGTGTTCACCAGCTCTGCGCCTGTGACATCTCCAAGAAGGACAGGGCCACTGACCCATCTGCAGTCCTCGTCTGGAGGTGGAGTCGTGCGGCGAAGAACAGGGCCATTGTGTGATGGAGTTTTATCTAGATATCTTAGCTATGTGCCTGTAAACAGGCTCCATGAATGATTCAGTGGGCCTGCACACAGCATGTTCATGGTGGCACGTGTGTTTGCTATTGTTGGTAAACAAAGTGGCACAAAGTCTTCATGCAATCACAGCTGGATCTTTGGATAAACCGGCTAATTCTTCATCAGACCCGAGGAATTCACTAATTATTGAACAAACATGGACAGAGTGAGACTATTCAGCTGGAACAGCTAAAGACTGTTTAAGTATTTTGAGCCTGAATTGTAAAATAATGATTTTTTTTATTATGCACACGTTAAATTGATCCCAAGTGACAGTAAAGACATCTGTAATGTTACAAAAGATTTATTAATTTTTGTTAATGTTAGTTAATGAAAATACATTCGTTCATTGTTAGTTCATGTTAATTCACAGTGCATTATCTAATGTTACAGTAACAAGTACAACTTAATTTTAAAAATATATTAGTAAATGCTGAAAATTAACCTTAACACGACTGTAGTGGGTCTCATTAGCAACAGAGATGAGACAAACTACAGGAGCGAGGTGAGCCTTAATAAATGCTTTAGACGTTGTTAGTTTTTAATTCATGGTTACTAAAGTAGTTAACTAATATTAACTAATGATGTGTGTTACCCTATACTTCAAAGTAATGTGGAAAAAATAATGTAAAATTAAATTGTAATTCAATTTTAAAAATTCAATTCAAAATTCAATTCATAAAAAAAATTTTTTGTCTCCACAACTGTTTTCACATTGATCATAATAATAAAGGTTTCCTGAGCAGCAAATAAGCATATCAGAATGATTTCTGAAGGATCACGTGAGCCTGCAGACTGGAGTAATGATTCTGAAAATAAAATACATTTTAAAAACATAATCAAATAGAAAACAGTGATTTTAAATCATAATAATATTAAACAATATTACTGGCTTTATTGTTGTCACACTGCTACTGTGAGGAGCGAGGAGACGTAGAGATATAGGCGTAATTTGCGGGTGGGACATGTCCCCACCACTTTTTTGCCAGGGTCGATATTGTCCCTACCACTTTTTGAAAGTAATTGAAAAATATATTGCGGAAGGTATGTATTAAAGGGAAAACAAGGTCAACAAATCATTCTTCATAATATAATTAGGGTGATAAAACAAACAAAAAACAACAACAACATTTGACTCCTTATGCATGTATAACTCGTGCAATGCCATAACGACGTGATTTGCAGCTGTCGCTCTTTTCGTAATGTCATTAGGATAGCATTTTATTAGCATTTTATTTTAAAAATGGAGAGCTTCCTTGTGCTAAGTAGGCCTGCCCTCTACTAAAGATTTTTCTAGTCAACTAGTCGCACGTTATATTAAATTGATTAATATAATAATATATTAACCATACTTCAATATAGGCTATAGGCAGACGTATTAGAGCCTATTCCGCGCTCAAGCTCACGCATAAAGCAATTGCCTCAAAGCACCGGCAAAGTGATTATGAACGTGTCGGGGGAAAAGAAGACATTTTAATTATTTATTAATAAACCAGTGCTTTCAAAGATGAGGTTGCCGAATGCCGACGCTGACTCGCCATCTCCACATGGACGTGCCTTTAATAGAAATGCACCTTTTCATACGGACTACAAAATTATAGAATATTAAAAAATCGAGTGGGCGAGTTTTCCTTATATTTATTTTATTATTCATATAAAAAATATAATAACCTGCTTTGGTTATATTTACTATTAATTGCAGAAGGTGCGCTCAGCAAAA